TCCTGTCAGACCAACCTGGCGGCCTTCTACGACCAGGTCACCAAATCCTTAGACGCAGGGGTAGCAGTGGACATCATCTTCCTGGACTTTCAGGAGGCCTTCGACACTGTCTCTCACCCCGTTCTCATTAAGAAACGGGGGGCTGTGGTGTCGGTTGGACGCAATGATCTGCTCAGGTCCCTTCCGACCCTAACTATGAAACTATAAGATGAAATGAAATGCACCCTAGAAACTATGAAACATGAAAATAGGCTGATGCACATTAACGCGCACATGTAGAGGTCCCTTCCAGCCCTCATTTTCTGATTCTGTGACTGTTTCTTTAGCATCCATGGACTTACTAGTGTAATAGAGATCCCCATTATTGAAGAGTCAGTGGGAGATCAGGGGTCCCTTGTGCCAGGGTGCTGGGCAGACAGCTTCTGCCCCAGAGAACGCCAAGCCTACAGGTAAGTTGAGGCAAAGAGGTGGATGAGATTCACATACAGGGAAAGGATGGGTGCAAGAGGCGGGAGAACAGGATAGCAAAACAAAGAAGAGATAGCAGTCTTCTTCCCCCAGCTCAGAGCAAGAGCAATGTTAAGGCATAAAACACCTCTACAAGTGTTTTGCAAGACTGGGTCATGAGACGCTGGAACCTCTTGTGTGAATATTGACACCCTGGCCTCGCGTCTTCATAGTTTTGGCAGAGAAAAGTCCATTTCAAAGGGAAGGCAATATTTCTCTGGGCATTTATCTTGCTTTTAAAAACAACCAACCTGGTATCCCTTGAAGCATTAACGCATTGTTAGCAAATCAGAACAGGAGCAGCCTTCCCACTTTTTTTCCCGTGGGAAAAGCATCTTCTCAGCAGGGAAAGCAAAGACGTGCCTGGCTAGCAGCGGTCATTGCACGGGAGGACTTGGAGAGTCTCTTTGGAGCAACTTTGCATTTGTTACAGCAGCTTGGAGAGAGAGGAGGGAAGCCATGCACCCTCCAGCACCTCCCTTGACCATCCCCAGGTCCCTGCATCGGTCACTGAGCCCAAGAACTGCCTTTTGGTGATGAGGAACTTGCTGTCCCATCTGTCAGAGTACCACCAATGCTACCATTCATGGCCCAGCCAGTCTTCCCTGCCTCTAGGCTACGGGATTGCCCAAGGGGCATGGCCCAGAGCTCCTGAGCCCACTCCACGGCGTGCACAGTGCAGTCGTCCCCGTCCCGGGAGGGCTGTGGGGAAAGCCTTCCTCCTCCCCTCCGTGTTCCCATCCTGCCCCGACAACTTCCAAGGTTATTTGCTTGGCTATGACAACTCACTGGAGGCTGCAGCTTGGCCGGGAATGGCTCAGGCAGGGAGTGGAAAACTTTCCCCTTCATTTATTGTTGAGGCCAAGCTGCAGGCTTCAGGCGTGAGTGCAGGACGGGGGAGTAGGGTGTCCTGAGTTCTGGCTCTCCCTCCTCTTTGCAGAGAAGTCAAGTGCCGTCCGCCTCCGTTCCCCACTCCACATCATCACGTGTACAAGCACCCGTCGAGTGGTCCTCACGGCAGCTGCAGAGGTTTGCTGCGAGGTTTGCTCCTAAGCACAGGTCTGCTTCGCCGTCAGCTAGGGGCTGTGACTCTCTCTCTAGGACACTGGCCGGTGTCCTGGGGTTGACTCAACAATGCTGGCAAGGGAAGAGCATTCCCTCAGATAGCTGCTTTTGCTCCCCCAACTGGAATCAGCTGCACCAGCAAAAAAAAAAATCAAATAAAAAGCAAGTGTTTTTGCCAAGATAGCAACATCCAGATGAGGAGATATCCTGATAAAGCCTTTTAGAGCAGGCTGCACCTTCTTGCTCATAAAGGGCTTTGAGGATGAGGATCACATATTGCAAGCAACCATGCGTGCTCTTGCGCCATTGGGTTTGTGTTTCGATGCACACTCCGGTGCATACTGAGCCCTCGTTGAGTGATGTGTATCCCATGCTGGGAGCGATGCAGGTCTGCCAAATTTTTTTTGAAGAGCACCTAAGTGATTGAAGCATCACAGGGTCCATTGGGCGTTGCTGAAATGCAGACACTTATGAAAATGTTACCTGCGCTTTTCCCACTTAACCCACATTGCTGGGTGTGTTGCTTGAGTGATGCCCTGAACTGGGAGAACTGGGTTTCCTGAGCCTCACCGAGCCATCGCCCAAAATCATTCCTTCCCAGCTTTCTTCCTGTATCCAAAGAACAATGCTTTTTTTGACACAA